AAACCTTTGGAATGCAAGCATGCTGATCCACACAGGTATGCACACAGGTGTACACACGGGTATTCACAGACGCGGACTACAGCTTTCTTGGCTGCTGCCTCAAAGCACATTGTGCGCTGTCTATCTTGCGTGCTGCACAATATCGTTTATTATTTAGTATCTACTGATATCTACTGCTAGCTAGTTTATTGTGATGGTGCCATTTTTTTTTTATTATGTTGCTCTTTGTTGTTTGCTTTCTCTTCTGTTTTTTTTCTCCATACAGGTGACCCAGGTGTTTTGTTTTTTTTTGTTGTTTGTTTTTTTTTCTTTCTTCCCCCCTTCTCACCGTCTCTTCTCCCCTTTGGTTTTCTTTCTCTCCCTCTCTTTCTTTCATTCTTTCTCCCTGTCCTATCCCCCAGTCATGTCTGTCCCGTTTGTAGCAACTGAAAATAAAATAAATTCATAATTATAATAAAGGTCAATCAAATGGACCAATATGGCAAGGCCATGATGATCCACTTGGTAAAATAAATCCGCTTGGCATCTTTCTTGGCCTTAAGACAACAATTCTGATGGCTAAAGATCCAAACGGGACACAAAAAAAATAAATAAATAAAAGTTTTATGGTATGAATAAATTGATTAAAACAAACAGTAATTGTCACTGAACAAAAATATTTACAAGTATTTTTAACATATATGAACATAACACTACCTTTAAACAATTTTAAATGCATATTTATTTAATGAGAATAAAGTAACAATAAAACAAGAATATTTATAATACATCAACAAAAATCAGGCTTGGGATCCTCCTGATTTAAAAAAAAAAAAAACGGTCCAGGACTTGGACACTCAGGTCAATCCTGCAGTACAATGGTCTGGTTTGGTTAAAGAAAAGGTGGAGAACAACAAACAGTTTTAGTAGAAAGGTATGATTTAATTTATTTTATGACATCAAAGCATTATTCTGACTATGAAGCTTAAGTAAACTATACTAATACACTGTGAAAGGACTTAATTTTTATACACTTCATCTGTGTAACTAAGCTTTTTTGTTAACTCAAAAATAACCCTGTTTTCAGCTTTGTGATATTTTTACATCTATGCAGAAATATCATCCATCTATGCACACGGAGAATGAAACACATGTATATGCAGACGGACTGACAACGAACACAGGAGAACACATTAAATATACGAAGAGGGAAATGGGGAAGCTGCACACAGGAGGGAGACAAACCTAATTAACGTGACGAGACGGAGCACGCAAACAGAACACACTGATATCAGACACGGACCTTCAAAGTAAAACAGGAAATACACTGACTGAACTCAGAGACACTGACAGAGTACGGAAGGCACACACGGGCAGGGATAACTAGACACTAAATGGAAGGAGCACAGAGTAACATGAGGAGCACAGGGACCAAAACCTAAGAACAAGAAATACAAAACAAAAACACTAGTAAACATGAACCAAGAAGAAACCCCAGACTATATAAAAGGACCATGACAAAAGGTCCAAGTTTTTCTAGCTCCTCGAGAATTAAAAATGTACAAAATAACGGAGTGACATTTTTAGGTCCATTCTAAAGTTCTTGCGCTGTGGTGCTAGTGACTGTAAAAAATGCAGAAGTAAGGGCGGACTTGAACAAAGGCTAGAAGACTGTCCAAATTCACAGCTGCTCACTTCCGGGCCTTCCCAGCCTTCGAAGGACCCGACCCACATAGGGCGGGTCCTTCGAAGCATGCTACCCCTGAATTTGGACACAGCCATTGTGTCAGTTTCCCGCTTTTCCCTTGTCGATGTGTCTCCATGTCTCAAGTGTTCAGGGATTTCCAGGCATTCCAAGTTTAATATATTTACTTTTTAGTTTTGTTATCGGATATAATAAATCCATGCTTTTTTTTTCTTTTTTTTATCTAGTTTTGCCTCTTGTCTCGTCAGTTCGTGACACACCCATGTTTTGGACTGCATTTGAGGGCCTCATCAACATGACAGGTTTGGGTCCAGAGAGCATTATTTAAACACCAATGCTGATCATGTTCATGCCTGTATAACTACAGTCTACTAATCTTCTGATGGATGCTTTCAGAAAGATAATGTGTTTTCATAATGGGGGTTTCCAGTGGTTAAATCCAGTGGTACTTCCTTGTGCTCTCTGCTTTTGATTAGATTTCAGGCATTTGCTGTATTATATATCACATTATGGCACAGTACAGGAAGACAGTAAGCATTGGTTTTCAACTCATCATCAGTGTAGCTCTGAAAGAAGCATCTTTATTCATTTAAAAAATAAAATGAATAGACATTGCATTTTAACCGTTAGGTGTTTGGCCAAATTTAGGCACTGATAAGGGATTTATAAAACTGATTGAATGGCATATTCATTATATTATATTATATGAATATTCATATAATATAATATAATAACTGAATCATCTGAGTTTATTGTTAATTTCAAGTCCTCTGTGAATCCACTCGGGATTACAGTAATAATGTGATTTATGTGAACAATAGTAGCAGTTGTGATAATTGCATTAAATATTATTGCTCTCTGTGTATCATAATGAATTGTCACAGATATCATAGTGTGATGGAAATTTTCCGTTCTTCTCAATGAAAGTGTTTAAGTGCTTGTGCATTTGCTTAGTTGTGACACTGCAATGGAAACGTCCACTGAACAGTCTAAAACTAGATGAACTTACTTCAGCCTCAAAAGTAGAACAAAACAACAACTCCTTTTGCAGGTGTTGATAACACCAAGGGCACAAAACAGCATTACCATTGTTCAGTTAGGTTTCATGTCGGCCAAGTGATGTGTGGTATCAGTTTGTGACTTCCTCCCTTTTCTTGGTAATGCATAAAGGAGAGCTCCACTTCTGTTTCAGACGTTGCATGACGGCACCTCGCTGTGTGTACTCTCTCTCATGTGCATGATAGAGTGTTGACTGCAGCTGACCGGGTCTGCGGACTTTGTTAAAGGTTCCACTTTTCCAGTAAACGAGTGCAGTGGTGGCTGACATTTTAATATGATATATTATTGCACACTATGTATTACAGATATGTAATTTCTTCTTACAGAGAAGCTACATTTTATCATGTCACTAATGATGCATTTCTTTAACTACCAGAAAAATGAGCACAGGTGTGGTTTATGATCAGTATGAACCAACATTTTACCAGAGGAGTCACTCACATGTTCACTGATTGTGAAACGTGACAGCAGAGATGGTACATTGCATGCAAATAACTTGCTTTCCCTGTGAATCAATGCAAGTAAGCAGTGTTACAACTATAACAAAGCAAAACTTGCCAATTTGGGGGTTTTTTTCACAGCTGACATAGTGGCAGATCATTTCATATTTGGCCAGTCAGGTAGCCAGTGGTTAGATGGGAAACACACACTCAAAATCTCCTTCAGTTATGACGTTATCCACGTACAGTGTTGGGAAGGTTACTTTTAAAATGTATTCCACTACAGATTACAGAATACATGCCCCAAAATGTATTTTGTAACGTATTCCATTACGTTACTCAATGAGAGTAACGTATTCTGAATACTTTGGATTACTTAATATGTTATCATGCTTTTTACAACTACATGAATGTACTATTACTATGTGACTTATTACTTTTACTGAAGGTTATTTACCATACCAATACCAACTAGATTTTAAATCTTAATATAAAATGAGTAACAGTAGGTTGGCATTAGGTAAGGCTGCACTTTTTGCAGCTATCTCCTATAGAAAACTATTCCGCACCTGTAAAACAGGTTCGCGGCTCCGAACCGTAAAGGCGTAAAACCGTAAAGGGACCTCTGGCTAATACTTCGGGGTTCGTGTCGGGCTCATAGCTGAAAACTAGCTTTACTTTGCCGTCATGGTCAACTTTGCTAGCGAGAGACAGAGAGAGGCGTTGAAAGGCTCCTCCAACGGAACTTATTGTTTCGGAGGAAAACACAAACACAGTGTACAGTCGAGTCTTAATAGCTTGCTTACAACTTGGCTCGTCAGGCACTCTTTTTGGCTGCAGTGGTTATTATTATATTTACATGCTTCCATCTCCCATTTCTGCTCAGTGACAGCTCGTACTTTTCTACTCTTTTTCTCCCTTCCTGGTGCTCACAGACGCATAACGGGTATGGCAGTCCATTCTCCCTGCAGCACAGACTACACTGCCCATGAGGCTACATTATTTAAGGCAATGCCTGTAACACTCTGCCTATTGCCTTCATATTAAATAATTTTTGTGAATAATTTTATAAAATATTTCTTCACGTTATTATGCCGCAAGTAGAGGTGACATGGGCCACAAGATTGAGACACAGACATTAGAGCCTCTTAATGCATGTTTTGTTTGGGTTTCCACCTGCATGGAAACTAAAAATAGAGAGGGCATAGCCTAACATATGAAACGGGAAAATACTGCCGTGTCATCCATTCATTTCAACAAAGTAACTGTATTCTGAATACCACTGTCAGGAGTAGTGTTATGGATGAGAGAAGGAGGACCCAAACGCTGGACTCACAGACAGGTAGGTGAAGGTGGATGTTTATTGCCGATGGAGTGAGCAAACAGTACAGAGGGAGGAAATGGCTGGCTGACTGAATGAATGAACAAAGGACCGACTGGCTGGCTGGCTGACTAACTGAACATACAGACGACATTAACATCAGATGTACATCAATGACACGACAGTGAATGAGTAGAAACAGAGGGCTTAAATACACAGGTTGAATGTTGACAATGATTGGAAACAGGTGAGTACAGGGCTGAACATAATCTGACTAATGACACGAGAGACAAGCTGACACGGGGAAAAAACAGGAAGTGAGAACATTAATGTGGCGAACTAAACTGAACATGAACAAACTGAAATCACTGGGTCGTTGACCCAGGAACCCTGACAGTACCCCCCCCCCTTCAAAGGCCGGCACCCGACGGCCAAAAGAAAAAAACCAGAACAGGGCGGGCGGAGGGGGCCCAGGACGGAGGGACGGAGTCCACACAGAGACAGTTCAGGCGGGCGGCCACGTGGCCCAAGGCCGAGATGAGACAGTTCAGGCGGACGGCCGCGAGGAAGGCGGCGGCGGCCACTGAGCAGGTCCGGCGGGCAGCCGCGAGGAAGGCGGCGGCGGCCGAGACGAGACGGGTCCAGTGGGCGACCACGCCGGCGATGACGTCCCGAACGTGGCTTCGGCGACGGCGTGGCGGCAGCAGGACCAGGAGAAGCAGAAGCTCAAGCTGGACCAGGCGAAGTGGAAGCTGAAGCTGGACCAGGCGAAGCGGAGGCTGAAGCTGGACCAGGCGAAGCGGAGGCTGAAGCTGGACCAGGCGAGGCGGAGGCTGAAGCTGGACCAGGCGAGGCAGAGTCCGAGGCCGGACCAGGCGAGGCAGAGTCCGAGTCCGAGGCCGGACCAGGCAGAGTCCGAGTCCGAGGCCGGACCAGGCGAGGCAGAGTCCGAGGCCGGACCAGGCGAGGCAGAGGTCGAGACCGAGGCCGGACCAGGCGAAGCAGAAGCCGAGGCCGGACCAGGCGAAGCAGAAGCTGAGGCCGAGGCCGGACCAGGCGAAGCAGAAGCCGAGGCCGGACCAGGCGAAGCTGAGGCCTCACCAGGCGAAGCTGAGGCCGGACCAGGCGAGGCAGCGGCTGAGTCTGATGCCGGACCAGGCGGCGCGGAAGCCTCTGGCTGGAGACAGGCAGGGCCAGTAGGCGCGGAAGCCTCTGGCTGGAGACAGGCAGGGCCAGCAGGCGCGGAAACCCCTGGCTGAAGAGCGGCCGGGCCAGCTCGGCGCGGAAACCGCTGGCTGAAGAGCGGCCGGGCCAGCGGGTGCGGAAACCCCTGGCTGAAGAGCGGCCGGGCCAGCGGGTGCGAAAACCCCTGGCTGAGGAGCAGGACAGCTCACAGCTGGCTCTGGGTGCTGTGGCTGCAGGTCCGGGAACTGAACAGGATGGTGGACGGGCGACTGGGAGACAGGAGGCGACTGGACTACAGGCTGGACAGGAGCAGACTGGAGGGCAGGGGGAGACTGGACTACGGACTGGACAGGAGCTGACTGGACTACAGACTGGACTACGGACTGGACAGGAGCTGACTGGACTACAGACTGGACTACAGACTGGACAGGAGCAGACTGGAGTGAAGGCTGAACAGCAGGTGAGGGAACTGACTGGAGTGGAAGCTGAACAGCAGGTGAGGGAACTGACTGGAGTGGAAGCTGAACAGCAGGTGAGGGAACTGACTGGAGTGGAGATGCTAAGGGATGAACAGGGGTAGGTGAGGCTGACGACGGAGCTGAGGTGGGTGTGGCTAATGGCTGAGCTACAGATTGAGCTAGTGACGGAGATAAAATTACGGCTTGGGCTAGTAAGGCTGGTGCCTGGGCAGGGGACAGTTCAGCTAATCTGGGTCGTTGACCCAGGAACCCTGACAACCACCTTTTTAAACGGTAACTGTAACGGAATACAGTTACTCATATTTTGTATTTTAAATACGTAACGGCAGTACACGTATTCCGTTATTCCCCAACACTGTCCGCGTATGGCTCTGCGACACTTTCTAGAATTTATCAACAGTACACAATTTATTTGGGCTGATTGGGACCTGATGAATGTAAAAAAATATATATATATTTTTTTTTTTTACCTGATTTTGCTCCACATATGAGGACATTCGTTTTAAATTTGGATAGAGCAGTGGCAGTATAATGCCCTTGTAAGTGGATAGCAGGCCCATGTAGACTAAAATTTAGTACTGTGGTCTAGACAACCCAAAATGTGATGTCCACATATGTGGACGAAGAATTAACCACACATTCACAGGCAACGGGCCCTTTCAGAACAGAAAAATAAAGTGTTAAATGCTGAAAGTCCTGATTTAACACATGGACGGCCTGAGGATAGAAGCTCCCGTTGAGCCTCTCTGTTTTCGCCCGCATGGTGCGGAACTTTCTGCCTGATTGCAGAAGTTGGAACAGTTTATTGCTGGGATGGGATGGGTCCTTCAATATCTGAGCTGCTCTGGACCAGCATCTCCTGGTGTAAATGTCCTGTAGGGAGGGGAGATCAGTCCTGCAGCAGCATTCTCCTGTATGGATCACTCTCTGAAGAGCTTTTTGGTCCTTAACATACCGGGATGTGACGTTCTGTGAGGATGCTCTCCACAGCACCTGTATAGAAAGTCCTGAGGATCACTGGAGAGACCCCGAACGTCCTCAGTTGTCAGAGATGATACAGGCGCTGCCTAGCCTTTTTGGACTGGACCTGAATGTGGGCAGACCATGTCAGGTTTGAGGAGATGTGGACACCGAGATACTTGAAGGACTGCACCCTCTCCACTGGAGCTCCATTAATGACAATGGGCTTGTATTCGCTGTGCTTACTCCTTCTGAAGTCCACCACCAGCTCCTTGGTCTTGCCGACGTTCAGCTGGAGGTGGTTATCCTGGCACCACGATGCCAGATTCTTCACTTTGTCCAAGTAGGCCGCCTCATCATTGTTGGAGATGGCGTCCAACAACACTGTGTCATCAGCAAACTTCACAATGGTATTGGAGCCATGCGTGGCCACGCAGTCTGAAGTACAGAAGTTGTAGAGCAGTGATGAGAATACACACGCCTGTGGCGCTCCCGTGTTGATGGCGATGCTGTCAGAGACGCACCTACCCACCCTCCCAACCTGAGTTCTGCCAGTGAGGAAGTCCAGCACCCATGCACACAGACTGCTGTTGAGTCCTAGATCCCTCAGCTTTGTGAACAGTCAGCCGGGCAGTATTGTGTTGAACTCTGAACTGTAATCAACAAACAGAAATCTCACATAGTTAGCCTGTTTCTTGTCCACATGGCTAAGGGTGGTGTGCAGGACATGGGCCATGGGGTCATCAGTGGATCTGTTGGGTCGGAGCGGATCTGTGGTGTTTGGGATGGAGGAGGTGATGATGTTTTTCAACAGCTTCTCGAACACCTTCATTACCACCGAAGTCAGTGCAACTGGTAGTCATTCAGGCATGAGGACTTGTTGTTCTTGGGCACTGTGACGACCTATTGCACCCTGCCTTCCTTTTGGCTTATGTGTGTCTTGTTTGCAGACGTTCGAGAGGCGGAGTTCCCATTTACAATCAGTGACACTGGTAACACCTGGGCCAGCGTGCCAGGGCTCCATAAAAAAGCCTTTAGGGCATAGTTGTTTTTTGGCTCATTTCCCTGAGACACCATGTTAGACTCTGGCTGCGTTTGGTTTGGCTTTTGCTTTTAACACCATTACATGCACCATTTTTCCACCCATGTACTCCCTCACACCACTGATGGTACTGACCACTTTTTTAACAGTAGTTTTTCTTTTTCTGTTTTATTTATTTAAAAATAAAGTAGCTTGGAAGACATTCCTATTCATGTCTTGGTTTTTTGAATTGTGTCTCAGGCAGGGATGGATTGGGACAAAAAAATCAGCCCGGGCATTTTGACTAGTGACCGGCCCACCATGGTATTATAGGAAAAGCCATAAAGCTTTTATAACAAACTTAAACCTACACCATCCTCCCTATTCTGGTATTCTAAACAGTACTTAGTAAAAATATAAAACAACCTAATTAATAATTACATATACCTAACTAATAGGGTTGCCAACTCCCAGCAAAAAAAGAAAAGAAAAAAAAAAGGAACCACTCCCGTACCCTCTGCCTCAAGATGCTTAATTGACAAAACCAATTTTAATTTAATGCACGTATAAAACAAATGCACAGAAATCTATTATTTTTCTCCAGTAATTAAATAGATTCAACATCTTTCTTCAACAGAATTGCAGACTGCACAGATGGTACCTTCCCAAAGGAAAGAATACTATAACTTACTAGGGTATATACTAGACTTAATATTTACTAAATACAATAATGGACTTCTATACATTTTACATCAGATGAAAACTTTGGTTGGAAGATTCAGATAATTATTTATTAAAGCTAGACATTTTAAATAAGAATAAGAAAGAAAAGTATTTCTTTGTGCCCCCCTTTCCCTGTTAATGCCCTACCTGGCCCCCTGGCAAAACTTTGCTAGACCTGCCCCTGCACACGTAGCCGTCAGCTACGTGTGCAGGGGCACACGTAGCTGCACACGTAGCTGCACACGTAGGGGCACACGTAGCTTCAACACTATTCAATAACTTTTATCCAAATACTACTTGGTCACTTAAATACTACATGTTGTCTTCATATTACATACGGTTCAACAAAGTCTAGATCCTGGTTACCATAAAAATTGAATGGGTCTACAACAACTACCATCCTCCTATGGTTGCAGGAGGGCTGGGAAATAACCCTGAAGTGATAGGTTACGAGGCAGGGTACACCCTGGACAGCTCACCAGTCTATCACATAGAAACAAACAACCATTTACACTTACATTCACGGATAATTTAGAATCATCAATTAACCTAGCTCTAATAACTGCATGACTTTTTCTTTCACACTGGAAACCAGAATTTCGTACAGATCTTTAAAGCCTGAGGCAATTGTGTTAAATACACGCGAGATGCTTACGTAAATCAGAGGGCTGGCCCCTTTTTTCTTTTTTTTTCAGTGTGTTCCTCCTTCAATTAAATCTCAATCACAAAAATGTGGCGCTCCGAAAAACTCACATCGTTAATTCATCATTTTCACTCTGTACCACTGCTCCTTACCAGGCTGTGTGAAGCACAGTAAACAATTCAGTCGAGGCCTTAAGCCATAAACAGACATCACGCACAGACATTGTTTTCATAACCAAACTGCTCTAGACCTTGTCCCTTAAATCTACACAAATGCCCTCTGGGTGATATGAACTGCATTTAGCCAATAAACAATCAATGGCTTCTTGTTGTTGTAACAGATTCTGTATTTGGATGTTTGTGTGCAGCATTTGTTAGTAAAGCATTCTTCATTGCATCAGCGTGTGTGTGTATCACTCTTCATTGCACAAACGTGTGCATGTGTGTGTGTGTGGATCACTTCTCATTGCACAAGCGTGTGCATGTGTGTGTGGATCACTTCTCAGTGAATTGAATCAGCATTTCGATTTGTGTGCGTGTGTGTGTGTCATTTCTCACTCAATCAACGAGTGCATATGTGTTCATATGTGTGTTTCTCTTCATTCTGAGTCAGTGTATGTAGATGTGTGTGTTCGTGTGTGTTCGTGTGTGTTTGTGTTCATCACTTTCCTGTTCTGGTGTTCTGGGTAAACCATTGCCTGAAGCGGGCCCTGGGGTCCTGCCCTCCTCCTTTTCAGTCCCTTTGCGTTCATTGGTGCTGCTGCTCAAAGTTCTGTCCATACTGGTTCTGGCCCCAATTGAGGCAGTCCTTTTCTCCAGTGTCCTGCATCTTCTCCTTGTCCAGCTCCTCCTTAACTTGACCCTTTTGCTTCTGTAGCTCCTTCAGGGGCCTGCTCCTGCTGTTGGAGCTTCTCGTTCCGTTTGGCGACCTCCTGCTCCAGCAAGCTCTGGCCTGATTTCAAGTCCTGTGTCTGGGACTCTAAGCCTGACTGATGGGTTCGATTAGCAGCCAGCTCCTCCTGAGCCATGCTCAGTTTCTGCTCTGATGCCTTGAGCTCTGACTGAGGGCAGAAACCTCAGAGTCTTTTCCGTATACGTCAGATTGAAGTTTATTGATGTTTTCCTTGCTTTGCTCCACGGCCTTCTGCAGCTCTGCTGTCCGGCTCTTCTCAGAGGTCAGCTCCTGGCCAAGCCCCGACACCTGTGCCTTCAGCTTATTTTCTTCTGGTGCTTTTGTCCATTCTGAGGTGCCTCCTGACCTCAGTTACTCCTCCTGTCTCTGGCACGCCCTTTTTGCTGCCCAATCATCCGTGTTGGTCCGTCACTGTCCTGCACAGTTTTAATACAGAGTTGTTAAGGTCAGCATTCTTTTGCTCGCCCTCACTTTTCATCCGGGCTTAATGGGCGTCTTGTCACAGCTCTGTTAGCTGAAGCTGTCTGGAAATCTCCCTCGTGTAGTGAAACGGGCCTTGGATTTAACGCTCTCCGTCTCCGTTGCATGAGATCGTTTTCCTGCAGCACTGTTGACATTTTCAGGTTGTTGTTGTGGGTCCAGCTGCTGTAGCATTTGGTCAGGGTCACATCAAAGATGGTAGAGGGGAGAGCAGGAGTCCAGGTCAGCCTCGGCTTTCAGAGCAACCTGTAATCAAGCATAAAGAGAAAAAACAAAAACAAAACAAAAACAGACGAACAGGAAAATGATGTTGTTTTGGCTGTGTTATTCAGAGAGGGGAGAAACTACGGGACCAGGCCCTGTGTCAGCCTTCTCTCCCCCTTTTTTTGTTTTTTCTCACCATATAATCAACTCATAACCCACCAAGTTGACAGGACAACACAGGTACATGTTAAAATTCTTATCATCATGTTTAAAAGCCCAAAAAAGGAATTTTCTTTCATTCACTAATCACTTGTATTAATCAATCAGCAGAAAACATGTCACAAAGTGGGGACAAAGTGAGAGGTCAAGCTGTAAAATTTTGAGCCAAAGCTTGGCCTGTCTGTCATCCCAATTCTGTTAATCTATCCTTTTGCCGCTGTACTCAGGTTTCCAGGTTGAGAGAAATCCACGTGTATTAACACACTAAAACATTCACTTAGTATTTCTTTTCTGAAAACATCCACTTACTATTTCTTTCCTGAAAACATCCATTCACTTCATCTGCCTAGATTTTACTCTCTCTCTCTCTCTGGGTGCATACTTCACACAGTCAGGCAGTTGCCTTTTATGGGCATGCAAAGTTCCTGTCACACACACACAGCTACTCACACCCAGCGACTGCAAAGCCGTCTTCACGTCCTCTCTCCACACACTCAGCCACAATCATCCGCTCCTCAATATGAATGTATAAAACCAGTAGCAATTATCCATAAAAACACGCCCTCAAGAAAATTCACTGTATTTAGTCATTTATTCATACTCACTGCGACAAATGCAATTCATGTAAAGAAGATCCCCTGTATGTGAAATTTCAATTCGGCACGACCCTGAAATAAGCATGCCTTTTATCTAAGTAAAATGAAATTACTGCACCACATCTAGTGCTGAAATTCGTGCTTGATCACACCCTATATTATGATAAAACCAAAAGTAAATCAAATGTAACTGCTTTTTGACATGGTCCTGGGTCGGTGACCCAGCGCTTTAAGTTTATTATTATCATTTTCCAATTTATTATCATTATTATTATTGTTTGAGTTCTACGTGTTATATTCGGTCTGCCTCTGAGTCTGCGTCTGTATCTGTCTGTCTATGGTGTCACCCCGTCTGTTTGTAAATCTGTTTGTTTAGTTCAATGTCTTGTCTGGTTCCATGTGTCTGAGTTTCCTGTTTTATTGTGAAGGTCTGTGTCGTATGTGAGTGTGCTCAGTTTACGTTTCCCAGCTGTGATTTCTCCCAGGTGTGTTCCCCTCCTGTCTCTCATCCCTTGATTACTGCCATCTGTGTATTTAAGCCCTGTGTTTCTCTGTGTCAGTGTCGCGTCGTACCCTCAACTTGCTGTGTGTTTGTAATGTCCTGTCCTCCAGCACCTCGGTTTAGAGTTTTGTTTTTGTAAGTTTTATTTCGTGAATCATTCCTCCAGCAATAAAGCTGCGTTTTCAGTTTATTCCCATCTCCAAGAGTCCTGCAATTTTGGGTCCTCCACTTCTGCTTGCCTGTGACACAGCCAAACATGACACTGATATTATTGAACTGAAACAAGAACCACTTAAAAATCTTATAAATTCTGCTTCACACCACAAAACTGAAACAAATCACCCCCGTATTTGTTACTCAATCTTACCCTGCTGACTGAAGTGCCGGTCTAAATCATGCACGATTTGTCTCTTCTATATCAAAATCCAGCCAAACATCAAACATTCACCATAGTCATTCAAAACTTTATTTGTAATATTATAATCAGCAAAATCAGCATCTTAATTACAGGCATGTATCATTGTTTGCAAAT